AAGACCCCAAACATCGAGCAGCTCCGGCAACGTCGCTACGGTCCAGGACATCATCTTCACCCCATTCACCAAGGCGCGGGTTGATGGTGTGGACCGGCCGTACCTGGAATGGATGAACCGATATTTTCTTCGTGGGCCCCAGACTGAGGGTGTGCGCTGGTGGCTACATCGAGCAACTCGAGGAGAATATCCCATCTTCATGTCGTCGCCCGTACCTTCTTGGAAACTTTGTACTGCTACAGGATTGGGTGACAACACATTTAATCGAAGGGCGTTGGAAAAACTTTCGCCTACTTGGAATGGAAGAACGTTGAGTACCTGGAAAAGATGGAGTATTTAAGCGGGGGTCCTGAACTAAACCCCCTCAATTACTCGGTTCGGGCTCAACAGGGTGGTCTACAGTGGCGGAGAAATCAACGATCTCGCTCAACTCCGGTACCCACTCACTTTCGCGCGGCCGAATCTCTCGATGGCGCTCCTCCAGAAGGCTGTGGCGGAGTATCATTATAGTATTTAATGTGCTCTTTAATATGGTAGTAAAAATGTCCGATAAAAATTTAATAAAGTGTAACTTATAGCGCCTTGAAAGTCATGGAGGCAAAATGACTTTTTTTGCCCCCCCCCTGTATTTTGAGTATTTTCGACAGCATCTCTTTTTTCATCAACTGAAACGCTGAAACGACACAGGCCTGTTCGTTGAGTACATATGTGTATGTGGTCGAAGCTGTCTTTTAGAATTGCTTATAACGGTATAACGGTTTGATCCATTCCAAGATTTCACTTTCGACCTCACAGAGAAGCATCGGGCATAGTGTCCTGATGAGCCCAACTGAGAGCTAACTGAATCACCATGTTCAGGAGAATCGTGCTAAGAATGGGGAAATGGTATATGTCGTGGAAAAGTTATACGTTTCCATTGAGCACTCCTTCACTTGATGAAAACGAGCATCACCTTTTCTCGATATAGATGGGTTCTGCAGGCTGTCGACCCCAAGAAGGGGCTCCATGCGATGCACATCTCCAAAGTCCTGCATATGAATCGCTTGAAGGAGTTTCTTTCTGTCCTAGTGAGCATCGTTCCTTGTTTACATACTTCACTTGTTTTCAGACTCTTCCCAATCTGAAAGCCTAGATCGCAGGAAATTGTCTATCAAGCAGCATAAAATACATTACAGACAATTTTTCATAGTGTGTAAGAAGAAAAACGCCACTACTCGTAGGCTAGCCCACTAGCAGACGAGAGCTGGAGGCAGGAGAATAACAATGCACGTGCCGGCACACGTCCTCTATAGCGGGTTATTTCCGCGCGATCACATATTCTCGTCATCCGGGCAGTTGATTAGGGCGGTCGTCAACGGGCCGCAGCGCGTGCCAGGAACTATTTGCTTTTCCCAGGCTAATTTAGTCATTTTTTCCACCTTGTGAAGATAAGGAGCTGCTAATCTGGGAAAAAGTAGCCAAAACAGTGAAAAGTTGGAAAAAATGACTAAATTAGCCTGGAAAAAGCAAATAGTTCCTGGCACGCGCTGCGGCCCGTTGACGACCGCCCTAATCAACTGCCCGGATGACGAGGTTATCCACTAGGTAACCATAATACCTAATATGCTCAATCTGTGTATATACATAGCGATACACAACACTTATCAGGGGCAATGAGATCGAAAAGGCACAACGGACTCTTTTCTCTCTCAGAGCAAAGCTTATCTTCTTTTTTGTTCAGCACTTGGCCCTTGTTCCCATTAGGTAGACTTGTTTCCTTGCTCAAGATGTTCCCGCGTCCTTCAACCTCTTTCGCAATCACTTTTTCATCACGGTGTTCATCTCTTGAAATGGCGAAGCAAAAGTGAGCAACTCTACATTATACTCACTGTGTTTTCTTCCCATTTCTTACCCATAGAAACTTCTGTATGACGCATAACTGCCCCGTTTCAAGGGAAACCAGTTTAACAAAGGTTCTTCTGGACATTTCTGAAGTATTTGGTTCTTTACCCCAGATACACCAGAAGCAGTAAAGGCGATGTTGCATACTAACGTCCTCTTCTTCACGGTACTTTTGCTGAGTATGTCACCTACAACGCTCGCAGATTCTTACCGTAACGTGAGTTCTAAGTCGAACGTTTTCCATTGATTTTCCTTCCAACTTCACTCGATTAGCGTGCAGCACCAAGTTTTAAGCTAACAAAAACTCATCACCCGCCGGCTGGGCTCAAGATGAAACATTCTCCGCCGTCGTCAATTCAAATTTCTCCATCTGTCTATCCAACTGCTCGTCGTGATGAGTCAATTGTGGACAACTTTCACGGAACTAAGGTCGGTTTGAATTCGTCTGACAGTGAGCACCTTCGAGTTTATGAGTTTTACTGTATTGATTCATCAAATGATCTAACATATCGTTTATAAAAGTTCACCTTTGGTCAGTCCAACTTATAAGGTTGCGTATATCCTTGATCGACTTTCGATTGACCTCGGTATTATCAGCGTGAGTACCAGTATACTCGAAATCCCTGAGATCGGGTAGGCGTGGCCGCATGTTTCAACTTAACCTGAAGGTGTCTATGCTTCTGGTGAGATATTTTCATCTTGACACAATTGTTGTCGTGTCTCTGTCCAACACAGAACAAGATGACAGTTGTCCCAGACTGGAATATTCCACGAGTAACCAATTCCGTGCCATGTTCAAATGCCACGCCTACTCTGGCTCAGGGATAAGGAGTGTATGTGTTCTCGGCTTCGGAAAATTGATGGCAGACGTCTCCTTGGAGGGAGACCCCCCACTTACAATTCAAAAACTGTCGTTTTCAGGCGCGTTGACCTAAATTTTCTCCGAATTTTCTGTGACCCTCAAGCCCTGTGATCCGCCACGTCTGTAGTTTGATTTCATTTGCGAAGAATTCTCATTTTTTAGTCTTCGTGCCTGTATCAATGTCGGGAGGCTGACAACTCATACTGAGAGAACTTACCATCTTTTGGCGCACACGAGTCCAATATGCCCGGGCCATTTTGTGGACTCCTATAAGAATGCGAGACTTGCGTGCTAGTGGAGACAAGCCCCCAAAGGCACGAGTTGTTGCTATTTCCACTTTCACGCTGATTCTTCGCTTTTTTTTGTTGCTTTTGGCATTGATGATGCGAACCAGGTTATGGGGGCTGCTGCTGAGCTTGAGGAAATGGAAGGAGTCCCGGAGTGGGCAGACCAATTCTTCCTTGAAAAATGGTTTCCATACTCAATAACCTCTGCAGAACCTCCGTATACCCACCACGCTCGATCGATGAGTAGGGAACGAGAGGGTATCGTATCAACCCCCTGATAAAAAGGAGGGGTCACTACTACTATTCGACTAGAATCTCGAACTTATGACTAATATTATCTATCAAACTAACTAAACCCGAGGCTGCAGCAGCGCGCCACTTACTCCAGCCAAAAGTGCACGGGAAAGGATTGGAGGGTAGTGATACCATGGTACTGTCTCCGTACCCCCCCCACCGCCCTGCCACCCTCTTGAATATAACCAAACTTGCTATTCTCCTGCGCCCTCTCATTCCTAGTCATTCCCTATCGCTCAGTGCTAATTTCGCTGCAGGACCTTGGTATAGACGCAAGTGCGGTAACTAGAGGATAGCAGAGTGGCGGAGTATAAAAACGCCACTCGGATCCCTACCGCTTTTCTTTTCGTCTTCCCTTAGCCCCCTTTTAGTGCACTTCTTGAGCGGAGAAATTGACACGCTGCCAGCTCTCGGATCCGTTCATCTCGCATGGACTATACTCGGAGGTAAGTCTATAACGTGTCTTCAACAACTTGTGCAGCGATATCCCTTGTATAAGTTTCCTTTTGGGCATTCATGATGCTAGGCAATAGGAGAAAATTTACTATCCATAACCGTTACACAGGTCCCTGATCCATACCGCTGGATGGAGGATCCTGACGCTGAAGAGACGCGTCACTTTGTCGATCAGCTTAATGCGATCTCGGAATCGTTCCTAGCCAAAGCTCCAAGTCGCGATAAGATCAGAAAACGGTTGGTATGGTTCCGTGGTATAGTGGTGAAATTTTCTCCTGTTGTAACAATTGCCACCACAGGCTTACCGAATTATGGGATTATGAGAAATACGAGCTGTCCATCAAAATGGGGAGATTTCTACTACTACGAATATAATAGTGGGCTTCAGAATCAATCGTGAGATTCAGAAGATTTAACTTTTGATGAGGGGTTTTTTCCAAATATTGTATGAGTAGTGCTTTGTATGATTCAGCGCGCTTTACCAACAGAAGAACTTGAGTGAGAAAGGTGAGGTATTCTTGGATCCAAACACGCTCTCACCGGATGGGACCATCGCTCTCGCGTAAGTTCGTTTTCTATTTGTGTTTTTTGAAGGGTTTTTGATACCAGCATCATGGAGTCTTCCAATGTATGATCCAAATTTTATAAGGAAAATTTGCTCTTAAATTCTAGAAGAATACCTCCGGCTCATTTCTTATGAATAGTTTTCAATCCCTGAACTGTCCTCCGCTATCTATGCTGGCAGGGAAGACGGCAAACTTGAATTTCTTCGTTGTGGCGCCGTTCTAGATGATGAGTCACGGTCCGAAAAGTTGGTACTTGTTACGGTCGGGGTAAATGTCAGGGCTGATGGTTAAAGGCACATTCCGCGATAAAATAAGGCTATGACCTCTCAAATGTGTCGGACGATCCGGAAGGCGATTTTTGAGGCTGCGCTACTTTCAAAATGTGAAAAACGGCAAGAACTCCGCTAGAAGCTGACTAATTAGGCCCATGGACACCCCTTAGGCCCATGCCGACCCTCACCGGCTGCTAGCTACTAGCTAGTAGCCACTATGTTATCTTTCTCTATAACATTTCGGACTGCTTTTTCTGCTGCTTTTCTCCGCTAATCAGATACTTAGCACTTTTTTGTGCCTATTTGAGTTCCGTTTCCCGCAATTTGCGGTCGCGAACTGTGCCTTTAAGATGAATGGAGAAGAATCATATTCATATAGTCGTGACAGCGTAGCTTCATCTGAGTGGAGATCGTGATATGTAGGCACATCGGCTTCATCTCATTGGAAGAAAAATGTATAGTATGTAACATTCGAATTCGGGGGCGGCGAGCGCAGCGCGGTGCGGCTGCCTTGCTCTACCAATGGCGATTGGGAAGTGATCGACTCCAGAGGAGAACCACCAGTGGCGGCAATGCCGCAGGTGGCAACCGCCGATTGCGAACCGACAGGTTGCGGTGATATACCCTTCTGCACCCTCCTTCCGAGAGAGTAGTCTTTACCCTTGCAAAAATTGTGCCTCAGAGAAGCGAGGGCCGTTGTCGCAGGTAACCAGAAAGACTAAGTGCCTTTCTGACCGCTTCTTCTCCCACATCTTACGCAGGAGTCTGCGCTACTCGTACCGGAGTCAAAATACGCATGTGGTGCCTGTAAAGCGGACGAACAGCGATTTCGGGACGAGCGGATGTGATAGTCTTGCTCAGGAGGCTCGAATCACCCTGGCAATCGACATCTTTCTATCAATTCTGCCGCGGAGAACACTTGGCCCTCTTTTAAAGGAAATACTATTGTGTTATTAAACATTCACTGGCGCCATTACTTTTGAAAGTATGGGGCAGTGAATGTTAATAAACAATGAAGTATCTGAAATATCTAACAATCTGTTTATCCACACTACTAAACTTTTTCACTGGAGTTCGAACGATTCGATGGGTCACGTCTTTTGAACTCGAGATCACTTCGCATTAAGCACGAATTACTTGTGCTCAGTGAGGTCGCTTCCGGTGATATCAGCGTATATCGCAGTGATCGTCACTTTCAAAATGGCCACAATTCATCGAAAGGTCATCGTCGACAGCGACTGGTAAATTTTAACCGTACTCGGAAACTGCTCTTCGCTTCATTCCGAAATGTGGAAATACGACAAAAAGTGGTAGAAAACGAGTAATACGAAGGATATAATGCTGTCATGTCATTTGCTCGCTTCAACAACTGGTGCAGAAAGACTTTGGCACCGCGGAAAACGCAGCCGCACTGACCCGCCCCGACAGTCCGTAATGATGAGGAGGGGGGGTAGTTGTGTTTCCGACATGCGCGGACGCAGCTTATTTTCAGAAGAGTTCCAATTTCGCGACAAGAAAGGCATTCTAAACTTCTCCGTTCACACGCCGTTCACTACTAAAAACTAGCGACCGTAGAGCTTTTTCGACACCTTGAAGAGGCCCTAAGCAAATTTAACAGGGGAAGGGAAAAACTTGGAGACACTTGTAGAATTCTCAATGAGGTATCGGAAAACGCTGAGTGCCTTCGACTCTCAGAAGAAATGGGTTCTAAATCGCGTGAAGAATCGCCATGGTCAAGTCTTGTAGTTGTAGCTTTAGAATATAGTCTATTGTGGAGAAAATCCGTTTTGTGGTATCCTGAGAATCATCACTTCTTGATTATACGCGTCCCGCATATACTCGAAATCCCTGAGATCGGGTAGGCGTGGCCGCATGTTCAACTTAACCTGAAGGTGTCTATGCTTCTGGTGAGATATTTTCATCTTGACACAATTGTTGTCGTGTCTCTGTCCACAAAGATGACAGTTGTCCCAGACTGGATATTCCACGAGTAACTAGTTCCGTGCCATGTTCAAATGCCACGCCTACTGGCTCAGGGATAAGGAGGGTACGTCGAATCATCGAATTTCGAACCTACCCATTGAACGACCACGACTCGATTCGACGTATGCGATCCCTCCCTCATGCTTTACGCCTCCCCACCAAGCCTCCACCCTACCGCGCCATTACAAACTTTACCTGCTCCTAGGTTGCTTGTGAAATGCAGGTTGCAGTGCTATCTGTTGAGCTGGCGAACACCCCTGATTAGACTTCCAGATCCCGATGCTGTGCCCTTGTCGCAAGAATTCTTGGTTTTTATCGATCGTTTAGTCTCTGGGAATGGACAAACGATGGTTCTCTTCTCGCGTATGCTTTGAGCGAAAATGGTAGCGACTGGATGACTGTTAAGGTATGTTCCTTCTTTGTCCCACACCTGATTCAAATCTAACTGTTCACTCATCCCCGAGGACGATCCTAGGCATGTGTGAAGAATGGACTCGCATGTGAAACACGTTTGTCATTTGAGAATGCACGGAAACTACTTAAAGACGGTGTTTCCCAGGTACCGTTCAACCCTCAGCTCTCAAGTTTTGGCGGCTCTTGCGTAGACGCCAATTCTGCGGAGAACACGCTGTTGAAATCAAAGAAAACAACCAGCCTTGATAAGGCATGGACAAGTAACACGTTCGGCTCTGGCTGGGGCAATGCTGGTCTTGTGCTGGAGAGCGCTTACACACCCGCTCGCCCCTCAGCCTCTGCTCCCTCTTGGATGAAGAAAGCGCGCGCTAGTGCCTAGCTTGAAACCAAAAATTCACTTGTGCAACGCGGCAGACAGAGTATCTTCCCTATATAATAGTATTTGAAATCCTTTCCAACGCTGACATCGAGTTTGTGCCGAGTATCAACACGTAAGTCCCATTCAAGCTGCTAAAATCCTCTTTTTTGACTCATGTCTGACTCCGCCGATATCGAGAGAGGAGGCCCTTGGCTCGTGGTGGACTAATGTCAACCAATGCTTAAGATCTTTTTAAGAGGCTCTCTACTTTTAGAAAATTTGGCAGCGTAATGATCTGCATCGCTAGGGAAACACAACTATCTAATTCCTCACGCGATACAGTAGTTTGCTTGATCTCTGAATAGTTCAATATTCAACGACTGGCCTCTGGTTAGCATTATGGCGAGACTCGCTTGCTAACTTGTGCCCTGGTTACTTCGATAGGGGCAGAGTTCAATATTGGACTATTTCAGTTGTTCAGGTCCCCATCTTATAGAACTCGATGATCTGAGGCTGAAGGTTCCTGCTGAGGAAGCTCACGAAGGCTGAGTTGTAGCAAAAAAACGAAAACTTGAATTGGCGTTCTTTTCGTTTTTTTTTGAGACAGTTAGGGATATTGAAGTCATTCTGCCGAACATCTGATAGGCATCTGTCACGCTGTACGGATTTTATACTTCCTACTTGTAGTCAGGTGTGGTACATACATATGACAATAGTCATATGTGCCTTGGTTGTGTAACGTATGACGGCATTATGAGCGGCGAAGGGACTCGATTGCTCGATGTTGTTCCTTCCTGATGTTGGTTTTTTTGGTTTGATCCAGACTATGGAGAGTATTCCCCATAGTCTGGATCAAAATCAGAATTTTGGATAATGTCAAGACTTTTCATCTTGGAACCTAGAATTTCAGCTGGTTGATGTGTAAAATTTCAGTTCCGTAGTGTAGACAAGGAAGATCTCGAAGGACACTATCACAGGAGTGAAAATAGTGCTCTCGCATGGATGAAAGACAAATCAGGATTATTCTACTCCAAATTCCCCGATCAGGCGGTATTTTCTTTGTTTACATCTACACTCCACATCTCTGGTACACGCTGTGCGTAACTGCGTACTTCGTTTGAGCATGGCGTAGAATAAGGTATTCGTAAAATATTCCAACTCGAAACAACTGCTATCTTGTCTTGTGTCAAACAAAGGTATGACTACAGCCAAGGTACAGCATGGTTGTGTGCAACACGCAGGAGGGGTCGCATTTGACCGCTGGGAAGGGAAATCATATTTCGGAATTCGGGAGGAAACTGGTAGAAGCTGGGAACATGTAGGAAAGGGGTGCTGCGGAAAGGGGGGCGTGGTGAGAATTTCTCTTAGGTGGGGAGGGGGTCATACCGAGACCTGCATTCGAGAGAGTGTCGTAATGACACCACTACCTCACGCATCGCTTGCTGCTTTACCCTGGTTGCAGCAGTGCCAAAATGTACAGATCTGACGGAACTCGCAGCTCCCGCTATGCTCAAATGAAGCACATGGCCACGCCTACCGCGTTTGAAGGATATGGAGTAGACATCGAAAGCGTTTCAGCACATTCAGTGAATATTCTTTTCAGACAGGTTTTGACGGTACGTCAGTGGACAAGAACGAAAATCAGTCTCTTTATTTCCATCGTATGGGTACTGACAGCAAGGACGATGTTCTTGTATATGATCGCAGAGATCAGAGTGACCTTTCAATGTTTGCTTTTCTTATTCATCTTTTGTAAGCTTTCTAGGAGCAATTTGCAGTGATATTTACATCCAATTTACAGCAAAGGAACAGTGACAGAGGATGGCCGCTTCCTCATTATCTACATTTCTCAAGACTCGTCTAACATGCTTTATTATTACGACTTGTCTACAATGAAGGGTCCGATTGGAAAAATCAACCCTATACCATTATTCGATAAGTTGGACGCGCATTACCAGGTCTTAGTGTTGTTTTTTTATGATGTTAAGCGCTGTTCAATGCTGCACTCTGCGTTGCGAAAGTTGTCACAGCAGTGGTGAGTGATGAGCGAAACTTAGCGGAACAAGTTTGTGTGAACACATGTGACAAGACAATCGTAATTCTCTGTGAAGGGTAGCGTATGCCGTCTAATTTTCTAGACCGCATATGTCAATAAGGGAGAGTGTAGAACCAAAGTTCCTACGATGTTGGTGGTGTCCGATCGACTGACAAGCGAATACGCGTACCTGAACAGCATTTACTATTTACTCTTAATTGCGCCAATCACCCGAAATCAGGCCAATTTTCGACCGGACTGTTTCTCCGTGGGAAGAATTAAAGGCAGCGCCCACGTTCACTTGATGTTCCTACGCCCTTTCTGGATATCATAGCCCTCCCCATAAGGATGCAGTATGTACTAGTTTTGCATCTCACAAAGGCGAGAGCGCCTATCGCTAGTAAAGAGTCGACCGCCCCGCCCACCTGGCGACCACGACGCCCAACTTCATTTCTAATGGTTGCCTGATGGTGCGGTTGTTCCATTGCTGCTTCTCTCCACGTCGTGTGGTGAGAGTGAGGTGATAAGGGGAAACAGCTGATAATCAACAAGTGAGAACTCGTGCAACCACTCCTCTTCGCCTTAAGCACGTACAACCGCTATTCGGTATGAAACTCCTTATAGGGCATTTTGCATGTTTTCTTTTCGATTTTTCTTCACTAATAGGTTTTTGCTACCTTGCTATTACTACCTGAGCCGCATACTCATCAAATTTGAACGCGGGCGCTGCCTTTAGATGGAAATTTTGTCCCCTGGGGTAGTTTGATCTCTTGCATACTATCACATTTGCTTAGCGCGAAACCTCCTAGAGCCAGCGCCATAGGCGCCTGCGCCAAAATGCTCGAAACTTCCGCATTCGTTGAAAACTTGTCCACGGGGGGTGTGAGCAAAAACGCTACATTTGTATGGGGCGTTGAGAATGTTTGGGATAGAGTAAAGAGGGCACACGTGAGCGCAATCTGTCTGCACCCTTCTTCCAAGAGAGTGTCCTTTCCTACGCTGAGGCTGGCCGCTTTGGTAAAGGGCGGGTCAATGTCACAGGCAAGGAGTTTTGCCTCTTTTCTTCAGTATGCGTCAGGCGTTCTGAAACTGAAAAGATGCGATATTCGTGTTCGGGAGATCAAACTACCCGGTTGTTAACTTTCAGCGATTCTGATGGCTTTGAGTATTTTGGCGCCGGCGCCTGCAGCGCGGGCGACAAGTGTTTTCGGGTGGGCCGCCACACCCCCGCACCACTTCTTAGCGCGGCCGTGGTTTTCCAAATGTTTTATGAATTCTGCTTCTTCAATTTTTTCACTTCTGCTACTTGACACACACATTCAACTGAATAGTTTTTAGTTATTAAAACCATATATAAGCTACCGTCTTGTAGTCTCGAAACTCAGAGTGCCCGGTAGAAGTTCTACCCGTCAAAAGGTTGGTGGCTTTCGACTTAGTTCTAAGATATCCTAGCCCGTAGTTTCTTACTGTAATTAGAAATGGTGCTTGAATGAATTGTTTCGATGATAGGTTTCGACTTGCAGGCTCCGAAGAAGGCGATGTTCGCCGAAACGTTAGTCCAATAAAATATCTGTACAAATCTCGGGAGGCTGAAGAAACATTCTGAATTATTACGTCTCTGATGCCGAGATTAATTGAAAGCCGATCCTGTGATATTCTGAATAGTTTTCCTATCGACGCATATATGACTCCGCCCACTTCACAGTGATGTGACGTAAGTTCTGAATTTTACAACTTTTTTCGACGTCGTTTTTCACATTTAATCTTTACAAAACGGATATAGCCACGCATTTACACACTAAGCACGCTAAGACCCGCCCCTCTGACCACGCCACTTTCGTTTTTTGCGGAATTAATTGCCGAATTTTTCACTTTTTTAGACGTGTGACGAAGCTCCCGCTCACTAATGGAAGCTCCGCCACTTTTTTAGAAGCGCCCAGTTGTCAAAAATGAGATCGACGAGCTCACCCCGGAACAAAGTTTCCCTTTTCTTCTGGGTCTTTCCTTTTTTTTCATTCTATGTGACGGGAGAGGTCATAACCTGCTAGTACGGTCACTAGCTCGCCGATCTGTATCATTTCTGATAAGTAGGCGGAGCTTTTCACAGGTGGGCGGAGCTTCTATTAGTGCGCGGCCAAAAAAAGTGATATTCAGAAGGAAAATCAAAATTCTGCTAAAAAAGTGGGCGAGGTCAGAGGAGCATAGCTTAGTGTGCTGGTGTGTAAATGCAATGCTATATTCGTTTTGTGAAGATTGAATGTGAAAAACACGACGTCGAAAAAAGTTATAAAAATTCAGAATTTACATCACTTCACTGTCAAGAGGGCGGAGTCATATATGTGTCGGTAGCAAACCTCTTCAATTAATATGTGTGTGTCAAGTAGCAAATAAGAAAAAACTTTACTTTAAGAAGTAGAATTTATAAAACATTTGGAAAACCACGGCCGCGCTAAGAAGTGGGCGGGGGTGTTGGGGCGGGGCTTGCAGCAGTACCTAGTGTGGTCTAGTTCTCAACTGCCCATTGTAAGGGGTGTGTCCGATTTGATTTGAAAAGTGTCCGATTTGGTTCGAAAAGTGTCCGATTTGGTTTGAAAAGTGTCCGAATGAAAGTGAAAATAGTGCTGGTGCATGTCCAAGTTGTGGCATACCCTCTGTTCTTCTCCTTTGCCTCACAATGAATGCAAATTTTCCAGTACGTTGATCACGACAACAATTCAATGCTGATACGAACCGATCACAATGCTCCCATGTTCAAGTGATTAGGAATCTCATTGAAAGACAAATCAATTCAAGAATTCATACCCTGAAAATCCTCGTCACAAGCTGGATTGGCTCAGCACCAGCTTAGCTAACGAGTCGACCTTATTGTACTCTATTGAAGATGTGAAGGTGCGTGCATATAAGCAGTTGTTTTCCGTTGTATTGAGGCTTTTCTTGTTCCAGCATGCGTTATATGTGCATGACCTCAACACCGGCTCACGGATGTATGCGATCCCTTTGAAGATGGGGTGAGTGGTTCAGTTTTATCTTTGTTCAATACCTCATCTAGATTATTATGGTATTTTACATGTCACCTTTTCAGGTCAGTTCCCGAATTCGATATTTCCGCAAAGAAAAGAGACACTGAAGTGTTTTCTGCTTCGAATCTTACTTAGTTCCTACCATCGTTTACCGTCTTGATTTTGCAGCCACTGACAAGACGGTCGCCACCAGCAGTACAGGTTAGTCGGTTGCTCCTCGCTGACAAACAGGTCTTGAGAGAAGGATGAACTAGTAATTAGTCAACACATCTAGAGTGCGCAATGTGCTCAGTACATGGCTTGGTCCGTTCGAAGTTGAACGTGAAGCGAATACACAGAGATGCTTTGCGCCATGGCAGATCCCGAATTTCTGGTCCACATATGAAGTATAGGCATCGAATGACTTATCCTGCCGGCATTTTTAGCATCGGATAGGCACTGAATAAAGATGCTCTGCGGACAGGGTACAGCATCGAGATGTGTGCATTGGTGGTGTTTATTTTTTTTTTTTTTCTCATTACGACCGAGCTCCCCTCCCCGAAAAACAAGGGTCTCCCGATAAGACCCCCCTCTTTTTCCCGGCCATAACTGTTGGAACCAACGAGGAGGATAGATACGTAACGATTTGCCTGCTAGCCAGCCGAGGAAAGCACGGCTAATGCCGTTTGGACTCCAGCAACTTCGGCACCGAGCTCATTTTTAAATTGCCTAAGTTACCAAATCCGCTAAAAACTTGTATGTAGGGGTAGTTTAACATCCTGATTACGAATATGACATTCACTCTTGCCGCTGGCGCTAATGGATGACACTACGATTACCTGCGCTCCGCTAAGGCCGAGCCCAAGAGGTAATCGTAGTGTCATCCCTTGGCGCCGGTGCCAAGAATGAGTGTCATAATTGTAATCAGGATGGTAAATAACCCTTGTGTACATATTTTCAGCGGGTTTGGCGACTTAGGTAATTTAAAAATGAGCTCGGTGCCGAAGTTGCTGGAGTCCAAACGGCATTAGCCGGCAAGCACTGACACCGCCCGTCGCCAACGAGGTGGACTTGTTGGACATCAGGTAAATTAAGGCTCTAAAAATCATCAAATAAAGACAATGGTGGAATCCACTCAACTGCCTAGGTGGCTTGTGTACATATCAGTGCGTAACACAAAAGTATGTGGACACCTGCAAAATTTTGATTTTAGGCCGAAGTTGGCATTTGGATTTTGCGATCTGAGACAATCACCTGTTTAGCATTCCTCAACTTAGCGAAGTATAGGATGTGCCTACTTCTGAATACATTGTGAACTACTGTTCAATTTATTTATTGTTTTGAAAAAATTTCTTAATAACAAAAGTATGTGGACACCTGAGAAAGTTCAAAGTTTGACTCCAAATCTGCAACCCATATCTATCGTCTCTGCTCCCCATTAATCTGTACTCATGCCTCGTCGTGGCAGTACTCTCTCTCAAAGGCGAACAATCTCAGATTCGAGCTCTCAGTTTGCTGTGCTGGACACTCAAATAGAGAAATTGCAAGACAGCTCGGACGTTCGGCGACGTGCGTTGGTAAATACCTCCAGAATCCTGATGGCTACCATTCAGCACATATTTCGGGGCGTCCTCGATCTTTGTCCGTAAAAGACATCAGAAAAATAGCGCGGGTCGCCTCAAACTCCCCCTTCTGTGAGACAGATCCATGGCGACGTCGTGGGACAAGGTGAAGCTTTTTGAGAAATTTGTAAAATTAGAAAGGCAACATCCCATGCGCTTTTCATTCTTAGGTTATCTTCACCGTAATTGAAAAAAAGTCGGTCTCGAATGGTCCAGGATGGATATCGGCCACTCTGGAGAGACCTTCTGTCGCCGATTCCCTGCCTGTTCTCGAGGACGAAACTTCGGAGGGCGGCCCGCTTTGATGTGGTGTGGGGTGGTTTTGGAACCAGCGGAAAGTTGGAGCTCGCCTTCCCATCGTGCCGTATGAACAGTCAGGAATA